TATATGTACATAAAGGAATGTTAATAACTGGTGTTGCATAAGACTTTAATGCAAATCCATAATAAGATCACTAGGCACAAAAGACTAAGAAACTGAAGAGACAGAATCTCATTTGGAAATTTCTGAGTAAAGAGGTAGTACAAACTTTCAATGGTGTTGTTAGACTGATGAAAGCCCATGAAACATCTTCATAGAAACAGGCAGATAAACTGAATAACAAGATATATAGAAGAGCATATGATCAACCAGGCTACCAAAATTGCCAGAAGAAAAGAATACTAAGATATACTATATCAGACTATTTGAATTAGAAATCTAGAAAGTCTGTTAATTCTAAGTTGTAATTAGTAAAAGATAATGAAGAAGATGTTAAAAAGATAGGTACCAGGATTTGGATAAACTTTACAAAGTTAGAAATAATGTAATATAAAACTAAGTTAGCTGTATATAGAATACAGATAAGCATCTAGATTTTCTTAACTGACTTATATAGCAGAGATGATTTAGTGATACAGTAAGGATCACAGTACAGAGTGTTTAAATAGGCAATATCTCTAGTTGGGTTGCAAATATGACAGCTAGTATAGAACTATTAGTAGACTACTTAATTAGATACCAAAAGTGTATATATGACTAGTTGTATTCTCTAATATAAGAAGCTTCTTTGAGGCTTTGCCCATGAGTCTCTATGTTCTAACTATACTGAATAAAAAGTCTTAGCTTCAAAAGAAGCTAGTTTAAATTAAAAAAAAAAATTATAAATAAAAGCTAATTTATATAATAAAAAATTAATATAAAATTAAAGAAAAATTACATATAACTGCCAAGATTAACATATCACAAGATTACCTAATTGTTACTTATTATCTTTAATTAATCAAAATTGTAAAATTTATTAATTCTAGATCAGTCCAAAAATCAAAACAAATGATTAAACTTAATTATTTCAAAATAAGAAATATATAAAAAGAAACTATTTTAATTAATAACATCTTATATAAAGAACTTTGACCTTATACTAAACCTTTCAAAATCTTCTATATTCTATTTTTACAATTGACTTAATAATTCTATAACTAAGACCAATACTTGCAATTAGAGTATATCATTAAACTGTTATGTTTTTGTAAAGTTTACTCTAATTCAGTACTTTATAACATATCTTTATTATTTTGGTATTCAAATCAAGTTTCACTAAGTTTCTAATCTAGATAATTTAAAAAGGTAGATAAATTATACCTCTAGTTTACATATTTTTCAGTATATAATTTTTTCTTCTGAAACAGATCTTAGTGATCTAATTAGTTATAATAACTCCTTTTTAAAGATTAACTTGTTTCTTAAATATTTTGATTCTTTGCAATACTAATTTAAAACTCTTAAATAAAACTAAATCAAATGTTTTTTTTATCTTTTATAGAAATATTCCTACTTCTTTATTCTTTTTTTTTGCTTTTTTATTATTATATTTAGAATATGTATTGATTGTTTTATTATGTTTTTTAAAAAACTTACATAGTTAAATCCTCTAAATATTTCTTTATTTATAAATAGTTTGACAAACCTTTTTGTTGTTATCTTTGCTATAACCTTTTTAAATGTTTTAATTAGTACTATTAGTCAGATATATAAAATTTCTGTTTGTTTATATAGAATTTTATATAATCAATTAAGTATTTTTTAATAATATCTCTATATTTACTAAACTGATTTGGATGATCTAACAACTATTATATGTCTTAGTAAACTTTACAACTTTCAATTAATCAACTTGAATTGTTAGCTTAATAAAAAAATTACATATTATTGAACTTTACTCAGATTTCAACATATAATAAAAATTTATATTGTACTTATCTCCAAAATTTACTATTGTCCAAATTTAGTAATTCTGTTAATCTTATCCGGATCATGTCATGACTAAAACTAAAAATTTTAATTTTTTTGTATAGTTTTAATAATAAAAATATAAGTAGATTTTGATAGAGTTTATATTTTTAAATTAAGTCAGCTTTAGCCTATACTTGCTGGCAAAACCTGAACAAATCCAAAACCTCAAAAAAACAAATTGCTTTTATAAAAAATTAAATCAACAAAATTATTTTGATATTTTGTAAATATATTATATATAACTATAAGAATATATAAAAATTATTAATAAAGTTTTTAAGATATTAATTTGGACTTGAGTTTCGATTTGAGCATGAACAAACCCAAACTATAATAGTTTGGGCGGCAAGTATAGCTTTAGCCACGAAAATTAGTAATGTAATAAACCGATGTAGTTATCTCTCCGAATATTAAGAATTAGATTGATAAATAATACCATGGTTTTAATTATAAAAAATATTATCCGAATTTTTAATCAAATTTTTGTAAAAAAAAAACAAAAAATTCTTCTATTTATACATTATTTGGTTCCAAAAATTTAATGTATATGATCTTGAGTTTTTATTACATTTACTATAAAATGCACCTGTAATGTTTTTTGCACCTATTATATGATTTATTTTTTGCATATAAAATCTTAAAATTTTCATGTTAGTGTTCAAAATTAGATTTAGGGTTTGGAACATTTTTGTTTAAATTGTTTAAAGCATTACACACCAATTAAACAGCCAATTTTTGAGATAATTATACATAGATGTAAAACACCAGAGGCGCGTTTTAGTAAAAAGGGTTATCAATGATGTTCCTTTTTGTTTTCATCAGCTTCTGCACTCTTCAGAAATTCCTGAATAAAAGCTTCCTCTTCTGCAGAAGAAGCATTGATAGGTGGAGAATCAGTAAGAGGATTAGGTCTTTTCGATTGGACTCTTTTAACCGCAGCGTAAACACCGAGACCGATAGTTGACAATGTTGCGATCGCAAGCTATCAATACATTCGAATATTAAGTTTATAAAGGTTAAGTAGTACGCATAAGAGTAATTGAATGTTTGGTCACGAATATTATAAGAAAATAAGAAGCCGAAGCATTCGTTGAAGGTTAGATAATTCACTAATAAAAATATTGACTAATTAGGATAATTCCATTCCAATAATATCTATCTTACATATTCAGACCCGATTTTGCGACCAGCAATCATGTAAACTGCTCCTCCTCCCATTGCTAGCGTAAGAATGTGTGGAATGAAAGTTTAGCTAACTTATTAAAAAAAAAAGTCCAACATTTATTCGTATGTCGTTGAAAATATAACTCAAAAATGCATAAAATTTTTTAGCGTACATCTTAAGATTTTAAGTGTTTCAAGATTGTATTTTACGACCGGTAGAGTTATGAAGTAATCTTTATCCTTATTTTTTTTTAGGCTGTTCGACATTTTCTGATTATCTTTCACGTGAGGTTCCCAGTTCCCCTGTGACGTTTTACCAATACATGTATGTACGTATGTGGGTGTAGTAAAATCTCAATGGAAGTACGTCCTGTTGAATTAAGTGTTGAGGAAAAGCTTAAAATTGCCACCAGCTTCTTGCTTGATAGCCCTCCCGGAGAAGTCAGTGAGGTTTATAATCGTAAGTTTCAAGTTTTATGTACATATTTTATGCTTAAGACTTTAGTCAAAACAGCAACTAATAGAATGAACGTGCCACCCCTGCTAATTTCGTTGATGTTTAATAGATGTTAAAGTCTTAATGAATAATAGTGGAACGTTTCAAGAAGGACTCTTGGACGCATTACAGCAATACAATACTGAACAATATACAACAGTAACTCTTCCAGGACAGGAAGCTCAGGTGATCAAAATTTGTCCTATATTTCTTTTTTTAATAAGAAAAAAATAATAACCGTTTAAATAAAACCAGGTCATATTATCAAAATATGGACTCGAAAATGATCGATTTCTCGATCCAAAATCACAACAAACATTTAAAGTCGATCATATGCGTCTAGTAAGATTGTTTTAAAAATACTATACGTTGAACTATACAGGATGTTCGACAAGCTTAAACTAGATTTTAATATTAGACTGTAACCGAAGTCGAACCTCATACTCCAGATGAAACAACAGAACCATTAAGGTATGGTTTGTATTTGTCTAATTGTAAAGTCATTTTTTCATAAAGTAATCAAAGTGTTATTTCGTAGATCTGCAGTTGAAAAAGCAATTTTAGAATATGTGGCAGATCATTATCCTAAAGGCGTTTCGGCGACTTACTCTACAGGTGAAACGCTAACGATTGCAATAGTGGATAACAAATATAACCCATCGAATTTCTGGTGAATAATTTTTCTTTAACATGAAATTTTTGAAAATTTTTTTGTTTAATATGGACATTTTTTATTACAGGAATGGTAGATGGCGGTCGACTTGGGTCATCTCACCTGAATCTGGTGAAATAAAAGGAACAATTCAAGTCAATGTCCATTATTACGAAGACGGAAACGTACAGTTGAATTCCACAAAGGATATTGAAATCACCTCTTCCCCAGTGAATTCAGAAGTATATTTTACATATGAACAAATTATTCGAATTTAGTAGATTTAAAAAAATAATTATAATAAATTAATTATAATATTCTAAAGGACCTTGTCATATCAGCTACCGCCTATGCCAGATCAATTTGCAAAGCTGAAAATGAGTTTCAAACTTCATTGAATGAATCTTACGTTGAATTATCAGAACATACATTTAAGGGATTAAGGCGTGCTCTCCCATTGACACGTCATAAGATTGACTGGGATAAGGTTCGGAATAATCTTTTGAAATTAAATCCTTAATTAATTTATGTGATTTAACTTTCTCTGTGTTTTAAAGATCTCCAACTACAAGATTGGTCAAGAGCTTGCAAACAAATCTTAATAGGATCATTAGAATAGTTTGCTTTAAATTTTAATATATACAAATATAAAATTATTAAATGTGCTTTGTTATAGTATTTCTTTATTTTGACGCAACAAAAATATTTTTATCTCGAATATCCTTTTTAGAAGTATAATAAAGCTATTATTACTGAATCTTTGACAATATGTCATATATCAAAACTTGTTACAGATAGTTATTCCAAGTGAATAGCATTGACCAAATTTTTTTCAAGATTTTGAAAAATCTTATTTTGTCTCAAATGTTCTTTAGCGAAAGCTTGTTTGAAGGATTTCTTTTCAAGCCGACGAGTCTACATGAGAAACAATGTAATTAATACTGACAAAGAAGTTGCATTCACTAAAATATAAATAACAATGTGGTTACCCTTCTCTCGGCCTTTACACTTGCTTTCCTCTGTTTCTTTTCTTCTTTTGATTCAGTTTTTGATCTTGGTATGCCTAAATTTACTAATGAGATGTGCAGAATCACAAAATATGGTTAACAATAAAAAATGGATGATTCATATATATCGCGGATGATGTTGAAACTTTGGGGTCTCTATTTGACAAAATCATATGCCAACTCTGCTACGAGCCCTACTTATCGATGTGAATTTCAAAATTATAAATAAAATCCGAATTTTTACAAGTCCCTGTTTCTATTAACGATTTTAAATCATAATCCAACCCTAAAAACAAATGCACCGAAAAAATCTTAAAGTTCATATTAAATTTCAATGTTATCTGGTTTCAGTATCATCCGCGACATTCCTTTTTAACTGACCTCTTATCTGACCATTTTCATCTTCCGCAACTTCAATTTGTCTTTCTGAAAATTCTTCGCTTTCGGAATCAGAATCGATATTTGATTTTTTACGAGGTTGTTCGCGTATTAAAGTCGGATGATTTTCAAGGTTTGAATATGTACCTAAAATTAATAATTTATAGAATTGCCGTATGAACAGCAGAAAAACTAAGGTTGCTGTTTATACAACAGTTACGTATAGATGTGCTTACTCAGAATTGATTGACAATCCCAAGCCTGTTTTTTTATAAATGGATCACTTTCAACTTCTACATACTCTTTATTCGTCTTAGTAGCCTTGTTAAACATTTTTTCGTCTACCTCAGATCCTTGTTCATTAAGTTGGACTTGTCCCAGTTCTTGGCGAATTACATCTAATTGATTTTCTATGGTATCTTCTGATTTTGGCACAATTTTCCGGCCATTAATTTCATATTTATCAAGGAATTCATCAAGAATTTGAGAAAAATCTTGCCGAACTTGAGATGATGATGTTGATTCGATATCAGAATCATCGCCATCATCATCCATATATTCCTTTTCGATCTAATTCAAAAGAAACTAAAAACCATTAAGACCTATTTTTTCAGTTATGAATATAGATATACTATAAGCAACCTTTTCAAATTGATCATCCAATAATCGAAGCTTATCATTTCTATGCATAACAGAACTTGACATAGAATAGTTTCCGGTAGTTCTTGATCTCACATCATCATATTCTTCATTAATACCCTTTTCTAATATGTTACGATCCTTCCGAAACTTTTGAAATTCTACTTGCCAATTACTCTCTTCAGCCTCTTCTTCTTCATAATCACCCTGATCTTCAGGTAATTCTTCAGCGTTAAGAGCCGAAAAAAAATCATCTAAATCATTTTCTATGAAAGCATCATCCTCAAGAGCTTCTAAAGTTTCTCTAAGACTTGGATCTAAGTCGGGTTGAAATCCTTGTATATCTAATTTAAAGCAGACGCATACTTAGCATATTAAGAAACTTAAAACGATGAACATATAATTATATAATACCATTAGGAATATAAGATTGGTTAAAAAGTCCAATCGGAATTTCTTCTTTTGATGGTAATACTTCATCCGGTAACACAATAGTAACTTTTCTATCTTTTTTCGAGGAACCCGATTCCTTTTTTTAAATCAGAAGGATAATAGGTAAAAATATTTACATAATTTCAATAATATCACACTTGAGTTGAAACAATTTCAAAAGATTCAGTAGGAACAATTGGTCTTTAAAAAATACAATCACATGAGAAATTATCATAATTACTCAAAATTTTCATCATTTCCAGTGAAACATATGTATCACATTTAATGACTAAATTAAGACTACCTGATAATTCGATTCTCTTAGATTTTCGATAAAATCAAGTTGACGACCTTTTTTCTTATCCTTGGATGAGGCTTCAACGAATGTAGCACCTTCACCCCCTTCTCCAATTGATTTTAAATGTTGAAGATAGTCATAGTCCGTGTCATCGAAATATATACCGTATAATGCTGCTTGACCTACGCGACTTTCGAATTGTATATATTGATGTATTTTGTATAATTTTCCAAATCAATCTGTTAAATCAATGAAAGGCGATTTAAAAAAAGAAAACAAAAACCTTTCAATGTCAGACTGCTTCGGATTTTGAAAGTCTTCAGTTATGTCATCACTAACTTGATATACTTTTCCCTATACATTACAATAAAATTATACGTTTTGTGAATTTATCCATGTTTTATTTAAGGGTAAAAAGACAAGTTTGTAGATGAGCATGAAGCTCATAACCATGTTTTATTGGCTCCTTTAGTTTTTTAAGTGAATAATAGTTTTGACAGTAAATGTCATATGAGTTTTGTCTATTTGAATTTCGCATATATAAATCAAGAATCTTACCCGCAAATTCGGCGGGACTATTTCAACTAGCACTTTCGATGAGGCGTCTGAATCATTAATTAATGGATCTCTCTGTGACCTATGAACCAGTTGATAATGTTTGGCCTTTTTACGATCGATGAATGGCTTTTTACCCATTTTTTTTTTTTTTTTATAATTAAATGAGTTCGATTTTGTTATTTACCAAGTGGTATAATCAACTACCGAAAAAATTAATTGCAAGATCAATTACAAAGATCAATTGCAAAGATCAGGTGTAACGTGAAATATAACGATAATTTGTAAAATTTGATTGGCGTTTGATAATCTTTAACACTAAGAATTCGTGACGTTGGATTAACCCGAATTTAACTATCGAAATACATATTTTAGTTTCAGAATCCATATAGACCAGATTTTTTAAAAAATTAAGTTTAAAATTAACTCTTCATTACACACTAATTAGCAATGAGTTCGAAAGTAGACGCCAAAACCTTACCTTACCTCTTTAATTCTCTCGCTAATAAGTATCATGAAAGTCAATTAGCGACATGCATCAGCTGATGTGGCGATAAAGAGAATAACAGAAATAGCTAAGTATTTTCCTAGTTAATTACTCAAACTCTCTAGAGTTATTCTTTATGTGAGCGGCACTATAACCAAATTATTGCTTATTAAACAACTAACAAAAATGAATGAGCCTTTTTTTCAGATTCTGTTGAGATCGAGAAAAAAAGATTAAAGTTATCTAACGATGATAATTAGGTGCAAGTTTTGATTCAGTTGAAAATATTTTGCTTATTTTGGAGCCCAAGCATCTTTGCCGGATTCAATATATAAAATGCTCTTAAGAATTCTAATAGGCAATTATTATCTAAAAATGAAGAATTAAAAAAACAATTAGCTGAAAGATTTTTTGACCAAGATTATATTAAGTTTGTGGTAGAGATTGCTAAAAAGGAATGGAGTAATCTTTACGATGATATAATAGGTCTAATGAAAAATAATAAGCAATTTAGTTTAGATAGTTTATTAGAGTATTCACTTTTCAAATAGTTTGTTAAGTGAAATTCAGTTATTATAAAGTTTATAAAAAAACTTTTAAATTTAATGAAAATGAATATTAACATAAAAGAAAAAAGTTTTTTAAATGTACAGTAGTGATTAATGCTATATATGAATCAAGGCCATTCTTCTTTTGTTATATCTTGTTTTAGTTGTTCATACCAAATTTCATTAATTTTCTCTTTTGGTTAGTATATTTTATCCTATTTATTTTTAATCTTATAGCTTTGAAAGTTTTATATTTTGAATTATTATTGTAAATATTTTTTGGTTTTTTTAAGTACTTGTAGGTTTGTTATCAGCTTTTTATTTAAGTCTTTGAGCTCAACAAGTCTGTCTATTCTTATTTTGTTTAATAGTTTGTCTAATAGACTTATTAGCATTCTTTCTTGCTTACTATTGATTATTTGATATCTTCTTTTAATGTTTTGCTCTATTTCTTTTAACCTTTGTTTTTCTATCTCTTTTGCTCTTTTTTTATACAGAATTTTTCACCAGTCACATATATCAAAGATTATTTCTTTTTTCATATCTTTGAAATTTTTTCTATACTGATTTTATGTTATTTGTTTATATATTCTGCTATTATATTAAAGTCTTTTATATTTTTTGAGATCAAGACTAGTTTGATATTTTTCTTTCTTAAATTGATCTATTTTCTTACTGTAATAATGTTTTAGTTAGCTCAGATTTCTTTGCTTTATTGTTCTTTTTGTTCTTTTTGTTCTTAGTAGTGTTTAGAACTTTTTTCTTCAATATTATCTTTCTTGCTATTTCTAATATACTTTTACTTATAATTTTTTATATTTTATTCAAGTTTTCTTTAGACTTTTCTGTATGTTCTAATCTATTTTTTTTTATTCTTTGTATTAGATTTTTATTTTTAAGCATTTTGTCTAACTCTTCTCTATATTTTTCTTAATTCTCTTTTGTTGCTTTTTCATATAAGAAAATTATTCAATATTGTTCTAACTTCTTGAGTTTTAACACTTTGTACTATATGGTTATATGATTTAATTCTAATCTTAGATTGCTATACTATGATCACTATTTGTGCAGTTAGACATATCTTGAATCTTTGCATTAATGAGTCTATTTGCAAGCTCTTTTGTTATTCAGATTTGGTCAATTCTTGTATTAGATTCTCTATTTATCTATAAAAAATTCCTTATTTCTTGAATTTTCTATTCTAAAAAAGTCTTTGAAATCCTAACTAATTAGTTATTTTAGAGTCAGTTTTTTTTTAAAAGAGTTACATTTTAAAGTACTAGACCTATCTAGCTCTGGATCAACAATATAGTTTAAGTTACCCATAATTATTATCTGTATTTGATAAGTTTTTTTAATATATATTTTTATAATTATCTTTTGAATTTTTCTTTGTTCTTTTTTGTTGTTAAGTAACATATATAGCATTATAATCATATGTTTCAGTTACTTGAATATAAAGTTTACTACTATTATATATTCATTAATTTTATCTATTTAACTAAGATGTCTTTCTCATCTTTCTTTTATTAGTATTTCAATCTTTAAGCCTTTCTTTTTTAATGTATTTGAATCTGACCAGAAATTTTTATATTTATTCAAATCTTTTGAAATGAAAAAACCTTCTTTTTTATTAATATTTGTTTCTATCAAACCTAGTATATTAATCTTATTGTCCAAAATCTATTCATATATCAATTCTATTTTGTAACTATTACTTTCATTTTATTAATATTATAACATGCGATGCTTAGTTCCAAATTGCTTTTTCTAATTAATTCTATTAGTAATGCTTTTTTGTATACTAATTCTTAATCAAAAAAAACTTTTTTTCTATTTTCTAATATTTTCAAAGCATCTGTTCTCTCTATATTCTAATTTTTTAATTCAACTTGGATACTTTTCAGGAGCTATAGACAGAATTTACCTACCTATTATCTAAACTATTAAGTTTTTTTTTAATATTTTTGTAATATGTTTAATACTTTTCAATTTATTATATAATTAATATTTTTTCTTTTTGCTCTGTATTGTTTCTTGTTTCTTCTTTTTGTTTTCTTTTCTTTTTTTATTTATTTTAGATTTAATCATCTTTGGCTTTTTATTTCTAAAGTTATAAATGTCTCAAAAAAAAACATAGTCTTTTTTCTTATTTTTTATTATAATATATTTTTATATTTTTTTAGTTTGGTTTACTTGGCTCTATTTCTTTTTTTTTTTAATACTTATTTTTCTTTATATCAAGACAACTTGTTATGATAATAAAAGGCAGATTTTTCTTTTGTCTTTTGGCAATCTTCTTTTGATTCAAAGTATACAAAGACTATATTTCTTTTGTTATCATTATTATTGTTCAGTATGAATAATGTCTTAACTCCTAAAGGTCTTAGTTGTCTTAACAAGATTGACTCTAATGCTGATTTTGAAATATCTCATAATGCTGTCTTGTGTTTTTTTTTTTTTTTAAATATTTCAGAATCAAATCTTCCTAATATAATTCTGTATATTAATCTTTTTTCAAAATGTACTAACTAGCTTGATATTAGAGGGTTTAGTCTTTGCTAATTTTAGTCTATAATTTGTACTAATGCAGTTTTTGTCTTTTTTAAAGTTCTCTATTCAAGTATTTTTGTTTTTTCATAAAAACTTAAATAACATATAACTCTTTTATATTTTGTATCTTTTGATAAGTCCCAAATTGTTAATATTATTATTAAATTATTTTTTCTTTCAGATTGTTTATTTTGTTTTTATTTTTGGTTTAGTACCTTCTTTTGTTTTAGATTTTTTAATCTATTTTTGGTAGACCAAATAAAATTATTTATATCTTTAGATGCCTATCTTGATATATGGATATTTTTATAAAATCTGTTTTTTGAATTCTTTCTTTCTTCTACTGTTGTGCTTTTTTTTGTTCTATTGTTGTGTCTTAAAAGCATTAATCTCTTTGACTCTTCTGTCTCTGAATTATATATACTACATTCTGTTATTAACAGTATTACTTTATCTTTGATATTTTCTTCATTTGAATTCTCAAATATTTCTCTTTTTGTTTCATTTAAGAAAGCTTCTGCTTGTTTATTAGCTTTATCATCTCTTTTTTTATTTACTATTTTTATTTCTTCTTCTAAGTGCCTTTATTTAAGACTACTTTCTTGAACTATTAATTGTAATATTAGTATTTCTAGCTTTATTTTGTTTTTGTTTTACTGAAATTTATTTTTTGCTACTCTATTTTTTGATTTTTTTTTCTTTTTTCTTGTTAGAGCTATTAATTTCTTTTTCTGCTATTAGCTTCTTTTTTTTTATTCAAATCTCTTGACTTACTAGCTGTGATATTGGTAGTTTGAGCTCTATTTTTGTTTCTATATTTTGTACTTTTTTTTTATTAATATATATTACATCTTGTATGCTATTTTTTTTTTTTTTTTCTTAGTTAATTAAAACCTTTTCTTTTATTGTTATAATTTTTTCTTTGATAATATTTTTGCATATTTCTGTATATTTGTCTACTAAAAATTTTATAATATATACCTGTACTAAATTGCTTGCATTTAAGAAGTTTGTTATATCTATATCTATTTTTGTAATATGCTTTTTTTGTTTATTTAAGCAACTATGCTTTTCTACTATTGTTCTTTGATTTAGATTATACAAATATTTAATTTCTGTCATTGTTATTGTTACAAAGTAGATTTTAGCATAGTATATTATATAGTAATATTAGTAGTTATATATATATCTATTATTGTATTTTATATTTTATATTTATTATTAATTATTAGTCATTAGTTAGTTAATAATTATATTATATAGTAGATAGATAAAAAGGATCTTAAATAGCTATTAGAAATGTGATACAGCTCCATAATACTAAATAACAGCTGTAATGTTATTATTGTTTTACAAATCCTAAGTATTCTTATATAAGTTTCATATATCCTAGTACCAAATTACTGTGCCAAATGCTGCAGCACAAGAATTCCAAATATCTCTAACATGAATCCCAAGTGTTCTTATATGAATTCCAAGTATCTCTGCACAAATCCCAAATGCCTTTGCAGAGATCCAATTGCCTAAACACAAGCTCCAAGTGTTTCAAATAC